TTCGAGACCAGCCTGAGCAACATGGCAAAACCTCATCCCTACAAAAATACAAAACAATTAGCCAAGTATGGTGGGACGTGCCTATAGTCCCAGGTACTTGAGAGGCTGAAATGGGAGGATCGTTCCTGGGAGGTAGAGGCTGCAGTGAGCTCATCATGCTACTGCACTCCAGCCTGGACAACAGAGGGAGACTCTGTCTCCAAAGAAAGAAAAAAAAAATCAGCTGGGTGTTGTGGCCCTTTTCTGTAGTCCTAGCTACTCAGGAGGTGGAGGCAGGAGGATTACTTGAGCCCAGGAGCTCTGAGGTAACAGTGAGCTATGACTGCACCACTGCACTTAAGCCTGGAAAGCACAGCAAGATCCTGTCTCAAAAAAATCTGATATGACACTCTGCCCTACTTAACTCTTCCCAACTGTAATTTTAAAACCAAACTGTAATATGTAATAAATGTTAAGGAACAGAGATAGCATATAGCCAAATATTTCTACTCATCCAATGTGGGGAGTTTTAATTTCAGTTTATTATTAATAATGAGTCACTTCTGAAAATTAGGAAATAACAGACATTTCTTCAAGACAGTGGTTTTGCTTTAATTTGTAAAATTCTTTATTCTTTAGGCTACTAATCATCTTAATCTCCAACCTTCCCATTTCAAAAGCTGCATTCCTTTATTCAGTTCTAGCATAGAATTTGTTTTTTAATTAGAGCTCATATAATATGAGCTCTAATTAAAATTTTATCTAGATTACCTCTAGTTAATGGTATCCAGCAAAAAAAGATGAAAAATTGTATGTGCCGTTTATTTTTACAGAAATCTCCATAAATCCAATTTTGTAAAAGATTGAAATTTACACCTTATTTACCTTTTATTTTTCTAAGCCTTTTACTCTATTTATGTACTTAAGGGTGGCCCCTTGCTGATCCAATGATCACTACTAGGGCGTATTTAAATTGTGAATCAGCAATAGAAAAACAATGAACTAGTGGTTAAGAGAGATGGGCTCTGGTCTGAGTGCTACCACTAGCTGTGTGATCTCAAACAAGCTACTGTCTTTTCCTAGACTTTAGTTTCTGATTATAGCTGAACTCAACGATCTTAATGATACCAATATCCAGCCCTTAAAAGTTTTTGTGTTCTGAAAAGTAGTTCAGCTCATGCTGCAGTGGCAAGAGCAATACCCACACATAACCTGAAAGAAAACCCCTTAGTGCCTGTTGATGACTTCCGCACTCTGGCTGCTCAGGCCATTCTAGTCAGGCAAACACTCTCTTTCATCTTCCATGACTGAGCACTCATCAAGTGCCTCACATTGCAGCTATGGAGAGATACGAGAAGATTTTTGCAAAAGCAGTTTCCTAAAGCCAAAAGATTTTTAAGACAAAGAAGTACTTGCCAAACATAAAAAAGGATTAAAACAGACATTTTACATAAGACATTTTCAATATGTCATGTCCAATTCTATGTGAATATATATAAAAAACTACCTTTTCCCCCAAAACTCCATTAAAAAATTGCCCTAAATTTGGGAAAACTAAAAGGTACACACCAGTATTTTTTGTTGTTGTTATTGTTCTACTAAAAGAATACCATACTTTGGTGCTAGAAACAGCAAGAAGAGAGCCCATGAAAAGCTAGCATTTAGGGAACAGAACATGGCTACCTATATATAATCAGACACCCTAAGCATTCAGGATCTATAAATGATCACGTGGAGGTCAAGCAAAAGAGAGAAACTGTAACCCTCCAACAGTGAAGAGTGCCAGGCTGCCTCAGTTAATTTAGGACTGAAAGATTCTAGCTTTTGTAAATCCGATTAAAGTAAGCCTCATGCAGATTTTGGTAATCAACATACCAATGAGCCTCATTGCTGTGAAAGCAGTTCATAGCTATTAATTTTTCAAGCTTACAAATGATTTATGCAGTGCTTTTGAAATCTATAAATAACTTGATGAAATGCTTAAGAAAAAACCTCTAAAAAGATTTCTTAATTATGACACCCTGCTACTCTTTCCAATATTTTTTATTTCTTTTTGTTGACTTTTTAAAGACAAATCCTCCAAACTGTCGAACTGGAGAAAGAATTTCTTTTTCTGCCCATTTGATGGTCTTCATTGTTTAAACCAAATCTAGAAGAGAAACATTTGGCCTATTTGTGACTGTTAAAATGTGATACTATGAGGCGTGGCATACTGACTGATCATGAACTACTTTATCTCTTCATCTCTAGGCACATCAGAAGGTGGGGTTTTCCATGCCATTTTAGTTAAGTGACTGTCATGGCCAATAGAATTGGGAGAATAATACACTCTTACCATCGAGGCTCTGAAACTGGGCCAGGAACTCCTCTATTCTCTTAGCTGTGCTGCCAAGGTGCTTTTCACAAGAAGACTTAAAAACCTTGAAACATTTCTCAAGTATGGTCATCAGTTCATCCTTTGCCAACATCCTAGAACAGAGTCAGTGACAGGAAATGTAATATAACTAGAAAATTAACACTTAAAAAACATTTTATTTAATGTATATTAAATGTTTCTGCTCAGAAGATAAAAGAAATTCTTCATTAGTAGCTATCAACATTTTTTGGAGAGATTTTCTCCATATATGTGACATTCAGAAGAATTCTTAAAGGTTCCTCATGATAAAGTGTAGCTTAGAAAATTTACAAAGGACTGGATTAATAGTGTGGCTCTAACACTATGTAATATAGAACAAAGTTACTATACAGATTGTATAGTAGGCATTTAATGATAGTTTTCCTTTCTTTTGATGTAAACATACATATGAAATAAGAAATGTCTACAGAAGTTATGACATGTGCTAAATATAAACTTGTTTAAAGGAACCAAAAATATAAGTACTACACTCACTTCTCTAATTATCACCATTTAAACTATGCTTTACGTCTCCTATGGGCTTTATAAACATCAGTCAGTAAACTCACTGAATTTTAAATGAAGTAGGCAATTCTAATTGTTATTTATAGCACAGGCAGAGTGGTTGAGTAGCTCATTCACAGCTATAGAAGAAATCTTTGTTAGAAATGGAGAGAAAACACAGATATTCTAAAGTTAGGACCTTGTTCTTGGAGCTTACAGGATTTCTCCACTAAGATCATACTCAGTAATGGCATCAAAAGGAATCAGACCAATATTAGGAATTTTTAAGCAGTGGCATTATACAAATACTCAAATTATTCTCAGCAAGTGCACCTAAGTCATTAAAACTATGATGATTAAAAGTTCTAATATTAACCATGAAGTAACAGACAAATCCAGAATGTGGGCATTTTGTAATACAACTAATTAACTTATGTTTGACATCTTTCATAATAAAAAAATGAGGAGAAATACTAATATTGCTAAGTTGGGAGAAAGAGAAACAAAGTTAAATAGACTATGATTACTGAGAAATTGAACTGGTTACCTGAACTAAAATTTAAACCCCAACAACAACAACAAAATGTAGACAACCACTAAACATGGAAATTGTTCGGGGTAGACCAAATAGTAAATTTCCCCAGAGTTTTTTTTTTAAAGTATTAAAACTTATATATTCCTCTTTCTACAATAATTATCTAAGATATAATCTTTATGTGTGAAAGGCAGCTAACTGGTCAAGGAAAAATAAGCCAAGACATTTCATACTTGATTACATTTGAGATTTAAAATTTGTGGCCTTCTATTGCCCAGATAGAGTTATGACAAGAAACTTAACTCAAAGTCACATACACTTGAACAATCTGTTAAACCTGACCTTTAGGCCTATTCAAGTAGACAAGATTAGCATTTCTGGTGTCCAAGGAATCACACGCACTGACTTGCTTAGAGGGAAAAGACAGGTGAGGTACGGCTGGCAGAAGATCTAACCCAAGTTAGCAGCACGTGAAGGACTAGCTTCCCAGGATAGGGGCAGCAACAGCTACTGTCCACTTGGAGCTCCAAATAATTGAGTATCAAGGAAGGCCAAACCTAGCCTATTCTCCAGGAGACCAAAAAAGAGGGCATTATTTCATATAACTTTGGAAGCAAACTTCATTAGTCATAACTCTTAATGTGGCATTTGATTGGAGAAGGTACTCAGATTTAAATTGCCAGGGATTCAAATAGTTATTAGTTCTCTTATTTATTTATTTTTTTTTGAGACGGATTTCACTCTTGTTGCCCAGGCTAGAGTACAATGGCGTGATCTTGGCTCACTGCAACCTCTGCCTCCCAGGTTCAAGCAATTCTGCTGCCTCAGCCTCCCGAGTAGCTATGATTATAGGCATGTGCCACCACACTCGGCTAATTTTGTATTTTTTGTAGAGGCAGGGTTTCACCATGTTGGTCAGGCTAGTCTCAAAACTCCTGACGTCAGGTGATCCGCCCACCTCGGCCTCCCAAAGTGCTGGGATTACAGGTGTGAGCCACCGTGCCCGGCCTAGTCCTCTTATTCTTAGCCCAAGATTATGTTTTGCTTCCAGAGCAGAAAGATCTTACACTTTCCCAAGTATTCTCTGGATTAATGTAAAATGACAAGACTTGAGGTAAGGCTGATTAGAAATAATAACTTAACCAACCCCAATGAAGTCATTAAATTTTTTTTTTTCCAGTAAAATTGTACACACACAGAATCAATGCTGCCTGCTATCATCACTATTATTCAGCATCATTCTGGAGTCTAGATGCTACAATAAATTAAGAAAAAGAAACGGTATAAATGTTAGGAAGGAGGATGAAATTTATCATTTCATATGATGTGACTGTAAAGTTAGAAAATCTAAGAACTGTAAATAAAATAGAGAGTGTAAAAGAGCTGGGTATGGTGGCTCATGCCTGTAATCCCAGCACTTTGGGAGGGCGATGGGAAGATCACTTGAGCCCAGATATTCCAGACCAGCCTGGGCAACAAAGTGAGACCCTCATTTCTACAAAAAATAGAAAAAATTAGCTCAGCATGGTGGCGCATGCTTGTAGTCCCAGTTACTCAGGAGGCTGAAGTAGGAAGGCTGCTTGATCCTGGGAGATCAAGGCTGCAGTGAGTCGCAATCATGCCATTGCACTCCAGTATAGGTAACAGACACCCTGTCTCAAAAAAAAAAAAAAAAAAAGAGAGTATGTAAAAAAGTGAGTAAATAAAAGATACTTATATATGTATGCATATATACATAATCAATACCTTATATTAAACTATATAATGAAAAAAAAAGCCCATGTTCAAAATGGAAACAAAAGCTACAGAATACACAGCAATACACATTATAATACACATGTATGACCTATAATAAAAGAAAGCCCTGAATAAATGAACAGACATTTTAACACTCACTATTGTAAAGATACAAATTGTTCCAAATTAATCTATATTCTTAACAGTTTGAAACAAAATTCCACAGCGTAAATTTTATTTTTATTTCTATTTTTTTTTTAAATGGAGTTTCGCTCTTGTTGCCCGAGTGCAATGGTACGATCTTGGCTCACCACAACCTCCGCCTCCTGGGTTCAGGTGATTCTCCTGTCTCAGCCTCCCAAGTAGCTGGAATTACAGACATGCACTACCATGTCCAGCTAGTTTTGTATTTTTAGTAGAGACAGGGTTTCTCCATGCTGGTCAGGCTGGTCTCGAACTCCTAACCTCAGGTGATCTGCCTGCCTCGGCCTCCCAAAGTACTGGGATTACAGGCGTGAGCCATGGCGCTTGGCTGTAAATTTTAAAACCTAATAAAATTATTCTAAAATGTATCTGGAATGATTGTTCTAAAAAACAGCAACAATCTGTGTACACTTGAGTGTGTATGGTGGGGCTGTAAATATATTAAAGTGTTAAGTCACAGTTATTAAAATTGATGGTACTTGGGAATAGACAGGTCAACAGAAGAGAATGAGTTCAGAAAGAGATCTAGGTGTACATTGGGTGTTTGTTATGTCACAGGGATAGCATTTCAAATCAGTGAGGGAAAAGATATCGGGTATTAGAATTAACTATTTTAAAAAAACACACCACTATCTCACATTATACACAAAAATGCGTTTCAGATAGAATAAAAATGTAAGTATGGTATGGGAGCAGGGAAAAAGAACTAGCTCATCAACCATAAAATACTAGAAGAAAACCAAGAAAGATATTTAAGCCTGATAATATCCAGCAGCAGTAAGACTGTAGGAAATACACATTGGTACATGGTTGGTGTGAGTGTACACTGTACAACAATGTTTATATTTTAGACTCAATATGTTTACATCTACCTTTGTTTTGTGGAAATAGTTATACAAATATACAGACTTACTGCTGCTCATGATTATTGTTTGTAATAGTGAAGAATTAGAAACAATCTAAATATATATCAAAAAAGGGTCTGATTAAATAAAAAGCACTTTAAAAACATGATATTATATAGTGATGATAAACAATGAGGTAGGGCAATATGTAATACTAATTATGACAGCTAACATTTATACTCACATTTGTGTATCGTGTCATTTGATACAATATGATGTAAATACTATTATTATTCCCATGTTAGAGATAAGAAAACAAAGGCACAGAGAACTTAAGTAAACTTGTCCAGAATCCAATTGCTGGTAATTGGCAAAGCTGGGATTTGAACCTAGGCAGTCTAGCTTGACATCCATGCTCTTACTGAACATGCTATATTGCATCTCAAAACATGGCATCCATGGTAGATTAGGCACAAACCAAAATAACCACCACAACAAAAACAAAACAAACACACAAAAAACAAAAAATGCCAAGTGTGGAACACCATATATAGTACTATTTAATATACATTTGTGTGTGGAAAAAAATCTGAAGTGCAAATAGCTAACAGTGGATGACTGGTTTTCGAACTTATATAATACAAGGGGTAATATCAGAAAAAGACTTATTTTATCACTTAGATTATTAAAATGACTATAGCAAGCACCTTTTTTTGGGTTTTGGTTTTTTTTTGTTTTTGAGGCGGAGTCTTGCTCTGTTGCCAGGCTGGAATGCAGTGGCGCAGTCTCTGCTAACTACAACCTCTGCCTCCTGGGTTCAGGCAGTTCTCGTCCTTTAGTCTCCCAAGTAGCTGGGACTACAGGTGCATGCCACCATGCCTGGCTAATTTTTTGTATTTTTAGTAGAGAGGGGGTTTCACTGTATTGGCCAGGCTGGTCTTGAACTCCTGGCCTCAAGTGATCCACCTGCCTCGGCCTCCCAAAGTGCTGAGATTACAGGCATGAGCCACTGCGGCCGGCCAAGCACTTTGGATAAACCAAACCTAACTGAAGATCACTTGAAAACAACTACAAAATATTTACCTTATTCCAAAAAAGTGTGTTTATATATAGCACCTCGAATAAAAAATTAAGGATTGAGTGTAGCTATCAGACAAGCATTTTTCAAACTGGGTTTCAACTCCTTTTTCAGTCATGAACCAATCATTCAAGAAATATTTATTGAATGCACACTACATACGGCACTGTT